AGAATGGGGTTTCCGCCAGCAAAAAACATTTGAAACTCTAAAAAGCTGCCTCATAACATCTCCTGTGTTGAAGCAAGCAAGTGGAACTCAGCCTTGTACTCTTCGGCACAAGCAATTATGCTTTTGGAGCTGTTTTACTTCAAGGAGAAGGGTCAAAAGACCACCCTATCAAATATGCCAGCTGATTGCTTTCTTTGGCTAAGCAAACCTCTTTGACAACTGAACGAGAAGCCCTCGCTGTCGTATGAGTCCTGAAGAAATTCCATGGTTACGTCGAAGGATCAGAAGTAACTATAGCATCTGATCATCAACCTTTAAAATGGTTTTTGAACAAGTCTCCAACCGGACGACTTGCTAGATGGGCACTTGAAATTCAGTCTTTCAACCTGAAAGTACATTACATCCCTGGAAAGGCAAACATCATTGCTGACATGCTGTCCTGTCCAAGTTTTGACCATGAAGTTTTACCTTGTGCAATTTCAAATATAACTGTAGAGGACATGCCCACAAGAAATCCAAAAGACATGCGTCAATACCAACTTAAAGATGAAAATTTTAAAAAGGTTATAGAAAGTTTCGAATCCACTCAGAAAACTGAAGAATGTGCCGACTGGACTGAACAGGGCTTCTTAATGAATCAAGGTGTTCTCAACCAATACATCCCTCACTCTGATTCAAAAGAGGCCCAGTTAGTCATTCTAACTGCCGAGCATGAATCCATCACATGAAAGCACCATGATGACCCAATGGCTGGACATTATGGAGGGGAAGGAACATTCCAATGAATTGCCAGACTGGTATGAAAAAGTATTATTGGCCAGATTATTCGACTGGTATAAAAAAGTACGTATTCGAATATGTGAAAAGCTGTTCTGAATGCAACTGCTACAAGGCTACCAACCAAAGGCCAGCTGGACTGCTAAGAACCGCTGCCTTTTCTCAAAGTTTCGAGATCATCTCTATAAATTTGTTAGGACCACTACCACAAACTGGCACTGGAAAACAATGGATCTTCACTGTCAAAGACTATGCTATGTGATGGGTTGAATTATTTCCTCTTGCTCAAGCTACAGAATGCAACTGTGCTATAACCCTCATCGAAGAAGTATTCATGCGGCGGCATGGTGTACCAAGAAGAATCATCAGTGATAATGGAACCCAGTTTATCAGTGCCATCATGTAACAAGTTTGCTGCACATTAAATATCAATAAAAACTTGTTACCAATTTACTTTCCTCAATCAAATTCTGTGGAACGGAAAAATAGAGACTTAAAACCTCATCTTGCGCATACGAGATGTACATGACAACTGGCATTTGAAACTCCCAGTTATTTATTTCGCTATGAATACAGCCATCTGTGACACTACAGGCCATACACCAGCATTCCTACAGTTCGGGAAAGAGCTGAGAACTGTCGAGGTCGTTGTCCACATTTTCAAAGCTCTGGTCAAAAATAACTTTGTTCCTGAAATATTCCCTTACCTTAAATGATTCACAATTGTTACAAAGGACATATGAGAACGTGTCAAAATGAAGCAAAATCAATGTATAAAGCAATATGACGAAGACAGCAAGTGTTTTATTCATCAGGTGATAAAGTATAGGTCAATTTACACCCATTAGCAAAAAACAAAATGACTTCAAAGTTTAAAGCGTGATGGTCCACACTTGGTAATGACACAGAAATCACCTACTTCCAATGCCATTTTAAGCCTTGATAAACCATCAGAACCCTTAGGGAAGTATCTTATGTCCGCACTAACACCTTTCAAAGACACAAGCACTTCTCCCATTGTTCCGCTCAGGAATAGAGATTGACCGCCAAAAGTTACTTTGCATTCCTGAACTAATCAACAACTTGTGGTTCCATAGTGCTTCAAAGAGAGGTCCTTTGCCCAGGAAGCCCAAAATCCTGACACTAGAGACAATATTAAAACAGCTCCCAAATCTTCCAGATTTGTCTTCCTGCCGGGACATCGGTGGAGCTAGAGGAGCAGTTTGTAACAATTTTCTCAAATAAACTCTGCTGCTAATATAAACTGTTGAACTAATTGTAGCAACGAGGGTGCCCTCTAGTGAGTAGCCAAAGAAATATGCCAGTAAAAGCCAAGTGATGAACCTGATAGGTTATATCAGACTATTGCTCTGCAATTTTCTTAAAGTTAAATGTAATGTCTGTGTGTAACTTAAACCAGTTCATAAATTATTGTTACACTATTAAGGACTCTTTTATGACTTCATCCAAAATGAGCCCCCTCATAATATATTATTCAACAGCCCAATAAAACACAATTTTTAATAAAAGAAAATAAAAGGACAAGCATATGATTATCTTGATATAAATTTATTAAAAAAACATTTTTTTACACATGGCCAATCATACATAATAAAATATAATCCAGAATTTCACATTACAGATCATTTTACTTATTGGAACGAAATATTTGATATTATTTACAAACAATTAAACAGAAGCGATATTTTACTTTTTTTCTTAAAGCTCACTGCATGGATCCCTCTTCTTCGGTATCAGTCGTCCCTCAAAAATATGACTTTTATCTAAAATCTATGCTAACTGAAGTTTTTCTCTTCCCCAAAAAGATTATAAAATATCATTCATTAATGTAATTCTAGTTATAAAAATAATTTTAGTAAATGAACAAAATTCTCAAGTTTTTTTTTTTTTTTTTTTTACAATTAATGACTACTTATTTCAATGAGAACAAATCAATAGAGAAAAACTTTTGTTCTTCAAATATATGTTCTAAGTTAAAGTGATAACTACTTTAACTTATTAGTTGTCATTCAAACTGACTACCCTTTCAGATATTTTATGATGCTTTTTGGAAAGTCAACGTGCCTTAAAAAACAGAGAAGTAAGTACATTTCCTAAAATGAATTCAGTTATTTTGCATGCACATAGTTACATGCTATGGGTTAATAAAGATATCTTTTTAAGGAGAACTCCACAACTATTATTTAAAAACAACTAGAACAAATGAAAAGGAACTGGAATATTTGAAAATTTTAGAAACTCCTCCCTACAATAAAGAAAGTAAATGAGAGACTTTGTAAACCCATCGCAAAGCATTATCAGGAAATGATGTGATTTACGACTAATAATTGATAAGCATAACTTCACAATGAAATTCTAAGATTCGCCTTGGCTTTAGAGCCTTTGTAAGAGGCAGCCAGTGCATCCTACCATTTTTAATCTAAAGAGAAAAAATTCTTCATTTTCATGGAAGCCTTAAAAGAAAACATGCCTTACTGCGACATTTTTATCGACCATGCTTCTTGCTTAAGATATTACCTAGAAAGTTATTACTGAGAGAACTAAACTGTTACACAGTACAATGTCCGTAATCCGGACTCGTCGGGACTTTGGCGATTCCGGATTAGGGGTTTTTCCAGATTATAGATCATCAATTTAAATGTAGTATGATGGCATGCAGAAATTATACAATTAAAAATATGAAACCGTAATTTATGAAATAAAGAGCAATTATGATCTAAAGGGTATCAAAATTTACAAAGAAAAAGCTTAATATTTATTTGTTTAATTTATTAAACATTTCTTTCAATGTAAGTTGTTTAAGTTGCTTCGTTTTTTGTGCTAATACTTTCTCTTTAATTCTTTCTTCTATAAAGAGTATCTCTTCTCTTTACGTGCATGCATAATGGACCCGTGCATTAAACGCGCATGCATAAACGTATAATGCGTTTACGCTTGCGCATAAAGTTGGTAGCTTTGAGGTCCGGATTATGGAAGTCCGGATTAAAGACTTTGTATTCTATAATGCTAATTCTGAACAAAAAATTATTTTTTATTTTTTTACTATGAACACAGATTGCTGTGTATAGAAAAACAGCAGGAAAGAGAATGACTTTTTGAAAAAGGTAAGTGTTTTATTACCAATGGTTCTCGATTATTAAGTTTTATTGATTGATTGCTCTTTTATGAAAGACCCAGTGTGCTGCCATTTTTAAAATGGCAACTGTGCTTTGCACAATAGCTTGGTAAAAAATTAATTGTCAACAAATTAACAACTTTTTGGTGGGGGCATAGATGAAAGTACCAGCATTTTATTCATGAACTGTGAAAAAATTTACTATACCAAGTCATACACAACTACATGGTTAAGGATTTCAGCTGAGTAAGTGTTCTTTTTGAAAAATTGCTTTCATTTTTAACAAGCAACACTTGTATTTAAATACGTAAAAAAAATTTATGCACTTTTATTTCATTTTCTGATGTATTACATAAATTATAAACGATGTTCAGTTTTGCATTTATATCATTTAAAATGCAATAAATGACTAAAAACTTATTTCTGTATTATAAGGTATTTTCTGATTATCCACCCAAGCCTGAAAAAAGTCCCCAACTACTGACAACTAATTTTTTGCCAAGCTAAGACTTGAAAGACAAACAGCCATTTTAAAATATGGCAATGCATCGCACCAGCTGTTAAAGAAAAAAAGCATTTTTTTTCTTCAAAAAATACGGCATTTTACTAAATAATAAATAATTAAAACATTATTCTATAAACTACATTTTCAGTATTTTTTTTACACCTTTGGAAATATAATGTCAAAATCGGCAAGCAAAATATTAAAATGCAGGTCTGAAAATCATCTGAAGATAGATGAATTGATTTTACTGTTGTTTTATTTATTGTTGAGCAAATAAATATATGGCATTGCAATTCTGTGCAGGTGAACTGGGATTATCACTCAGAGCAGTAAAATAGCCAAAACAAATTATTTTCACTGATACACAAAGTTGCCAATAAGTTAAAATACTTTTCATGAGGCTATGGATAATCAGAAAACATGAAATGTATAAATCTTAAAATGACCATTTGGCAGATTCAGAATGCTTGGTAGGCAGTTGTGCATCCCAACAGATTAAGTTAAAGCTTTAATATGAAATATTACTAAATTTATAAAAATGTTAAATATATAAACTTACACCAATAAATTAATTATCCTTACCTGAAATTTTCACACATGTCACAGGATTATAACAAAATCCTTTGATTAATTTCTTCCAGTAAGGTGATGTCCTAATCATTTTTGCATGAAACCATTTCTTGTATATTGCACACCAGTCAATTATTTTATCAGTCAGCAAAACACTTTTAAAAGATAAAATATCTTCTAAAATGTGTTCAGGAACTTCTTTGATACAGAACTGCTTCCAAAGAGAGTTTCTGACTTGCATTCGTTTCCCAGTTTCATGCCAATGTTTGCAAACAAGTTTAATCCTACAGAATGACTGCCCATCAAGAAATGCAAAAATGTGCTCTAAAATCTCAGCTGGGATGTGAATTAACTCCATACTCTAAAAATGAAGGGAAATTTTAATCTACTTAAGACAAATAAACATAAAATTTTTAATAAATAACAAAAAGCATGTATATGTGCATTTCTAAAATACATAAATAACATATATATAATTACAAAACAATTATTTTGAAAACAAAATATAAACATGCCTCGTATTTTCACATACAGAATGTTTCAGCAAATCAGTTAGAAACTTTTTGAAGAGATAGACACCTATACGATGGAAAAACTCATAGCAATGCATAGTCGGAAATGCTCTTCTGGCACAGTAGTGATGACACAAAACACTATAAAGGAAGGACACAAACAGGATGAGAATAATAATTATTATGCTTAATGCAGCAGAAATGAAGAAATAGGTACAAAAACAGATGATCATCATCAAAGGTGTTGAAAATTAGTCCCAGACTATGATGCAGGAACCATGCATCATGTATTTTACATGCACTGGAGATGTGAGCCATGCATCACAGTCCTGGTCATAATTATGAATACCTTCTTAATGATGATTGCTGCTGTTTTTGTTCTTATTTGTTGGCTTCTGCTGTATTAGTCACACTGTTTGTGTCCTTCCTTTTTTGTGTTTTGTATTTTCACTACCGCGCCAAGAAAACATTTCTGACCATGTGATTTTTTCATTGTCTACATGTACTCTCTCTCCCTTGAAACCAATTTGCTAAAACACCCTATATATACACACAGAAGAGTCATTACATTATGACTACCCTGTTAATAACATGTAGGACCACCTTTAGCCCTCAAAACTGCCAGCACTCGGCATGGCATTGACTCTACAAGTTGTTAATAGGTAGTCTAAGGTATCTGGTACCAAGTGCTCACCAACTGGTCCTGCAATTTCCACACATTGTGAGGGGGTAGCGTGGCAACATGAATTTGGTTTTCTAGGTGGAACTACTAATGCTCTATTGGATTAATGTCAGGTGTATTTGGAGGCAAAGACATGACTTGAAAGTCACTGGAATGTTCCTCAAACCACTCCCTGACGTTTTGACCCTTATGATATGCTGCATTATCCTGTTGGTAAACACCATTCCCCGCTGGAAAAATGTCATGAATGGCTAAACCTGATCTGCAATGATGTTCACATAGCGCACAGAAGTCAGGGATTGTCCTATGGGGATTATGGGTCCTAATATGTTCCATGAAAACATTGCCCACACCATAATGCTCCCACCATTGGCTCGTCTCCGTCCAACTGTGCATCTGGGAGCCAGAGTTTCGTTTAGAAATCACGTATTAGCACATGCCCATTGATGTGATGGACCAGAAAACATTATTTGTCAGATCCCGCAACTTTCTTCTATTCTTCTAATGTCCCATTCCAATGTTTCTTGGCTTACTGCAGACGCAGCTGGTTATGACATGCTATCAGTGCAGGGATATGCTTCTGCCTCCGGCTGCATAGGTCCATACGCAGCAATGTACGTTGCACAGCCTGTTCAAAAACACTGTCTGAGTCACCACTGTTGTAGCTAGTGGTGATTTCGGCTGTTATAGCTCTTTGGTGAAGGTGAACAGTGGTAGGAATCTCCACTCTCGTCTGGAATCAATGCGTCAACAACGACACACTGCTGGCCATCAACTTATTTTTCCACCATCCATACACCACTTACGATATGTGCTCACAACAACTGCATGTGAATAACCCAATAAACATGCTGTTTGTGATATTGATGTTCCCAGTCACCGAGCCATAACAATTTTACCTTTATCGAAGTTTGATAAATCAGCTGATTTTCCCATAATGTAGCTAATTGCACTATGTTTGAAAGACAATGCATAGCCACTTGATATACTCCAACATCAGCCACACATGCACAGTGGTTTTGTTCCTGGGTGAGCCCATTTTTATAGGCTGAGGCTGGTTATAATGTAATGGCTCTTTGGTGTACATATATTATATCTGTAATAATTAAGAAATTATTAAAGACAGATGACAAGGAAGCATAAATAAGTAGTTGCAGAATAACCAAATTAAATATTTGATTTTGACTGGCTAATTAATAATGCTCTAAAATTATTATTGGCTGTTTGAGTTTCAGATCTCAAAACTATCTGTATCACCAGCATTATGCAAAAGTCATGTAACAGCTAATCGCATAAATGTCCTCCACGACATAATTAATCCACCATGAGCTTGAGCTCTATTCATCATACAATGGTCTAGCAGCTGTTCCCCAGCCAAATAATGAATTCTGACCCTGTCATTAACATAGCATTATGCAAAAGTCATGCAACAGCTGATTGTATTAATTTCCTATTATTGCCTGTTTGAGTTTCAGATCTCAAAGCTATCTGTATCACCAGCATTATGCAAAAGTCATGTAACAGCTGATCGTATAAATGTCCTCCACGACATAATTAATCCACCATGAGCTTGAGCTCTATTCATCATACAATGGTCTAGCAGCTGTTCCTCAGCCAAATAATGAATTCTGACCCTGTCATTAACATAATGCAAGAGAAATCGAATTTTGTCTGACCAGGCAACACATTATCACCATCCAGTGGACCAACAGTGATGCTCACGAACCCACTGCAAGTATAAACAACAATGACACAGCATCAGGTACAGGACTCCAAAAGTCTCTCAAAATTAACATGCGCGAGTTCTGAACTCAATGTGTCTCATGTAACAGTTTAGCATGTGTTATGGAAATGTTTAAAATTCTAGCCATACACCTTTCAGATGATGGAGGCATTAAAACTTTTCGACAAAATGTTGCATAATGCTTTTTTGTGAGAATCTGCAAGATAAGCTAGAGGTAGATGGTTTTGTGAACAGACCTGAGTTCTCAGATGAAGCTACCTTTCCTGTTTCTGGTGAAGTTAATTGCATAGTTTATGATTTTGAGACATGGGAAATCACCTTGGTGAAGTGAAACATGAGCATGATTCTCCAAAGGTGAACGTTTTCTGCACCATTTCCAACAATTGTGTTTTTGTCCATGGAAAAATTAATTAATGGGTGCATTTACCAACAGATGCTATCAGAGTGATTGTTGCCTCAGTTGGAGGACGTGGTTTCCAGCTTCATTCTGCAGCAAGACAGTGCTCCATTACATTGGTATAAAAATGCACATCAATACATGAATGATAGTCTATCCAATTGCTGGGTCAAACGATACAGTATTGTTTGTTGGCTACTAAGATCCTCCAATCTAAACCTTTGTGGTTTTTTCTGATGGGGTTTTGTTAAAGACAAAGTGTTCATGCCTCCACTTCCTCAGGACTTACAGCAACTAAATCAGCAGATACTGAAGTGCTCGAATCATCAACAAAGGATATTCTATCAAGAGTGTGGCAAAAATTGCAATACTATATAGATATTTTTTGTGTTACCAGAGAGGCACACATGGAACATCTACAGAAACTTGGATAATTATAGTTTCAAAGTAACTTTGATTTATCAAAATAAAAGTAATTACAGCATTCACAAGTATGCCTTCTTTTTGCCCATTTCAATATGAAACACACTGTACATTCAATTTTGAAATTTCCTTTTTTAATTTAATTTTGTTTTCTACTCTTTCTAAATTAATACATCACTTTTCTGTTTTTCTAATGATATGAACTGAAATTCAGTTTTAGATTTTATCTAAATTAGTAGATATGAAAGCAAAGCAGATGCACAGACCTTATAATTACAAAGTTCCGCTGTTCAAGCCCTGTAATTGCTGTGGCGAGAATACCGACTAACTTGTCAATTGAAATTTTTTCATTTTCACTAACCTCTCTGTCACTTTCTTCATGCCTTTACCCATTTTTTGCAGCAATTCCACTTTTAGTTTGATGGACATCGCATGTCAAGTCTCCAAGGTCACACAAAGTGTAATGCCCAAATTCAAGTGGCAGCAGCTTCAGCACCGCCTGGACATGTTGCTCTGTGATTTCCATGAATTTGGTCCACTAAATACACATCTCAATGGGAAGCACAACTCGTACAACAAACTGAAGAACATAGTGGAGAAGTGGCTCCTGTCACAGACGCAGGAGAACAAGGATTCCTTCGGCTCCTGAGACAGTGGGATAGTTGTGCTCAGGCCTCTGGTGATTACTAGTGAATAAAGACTTCAATTACATCCACAGTGTCATTTTGCATCTTTTGATTTGAACACCCCTCATATATTTTGATATAAAAATAATCAATGATGAAGAAACAAATATTGTTTGCAGTGATAAAAGAAATTTTCCATTTTTTGTGAAAGGCAGAAATTTTGTTATGTTCTTTCTTTATTTTTGGAGATACTATAGGTCATGGAATTTTTCAGCCTATTTTCAATGTACTGAATTGTAGACTGTTTTTCATAAAATAATGATATTACTGCCTGCTTTATCCATTTTGGTAATTGTAAATTGTTTTTTGAACAATGAAAACTTTTGAAGTAAATTTCCCAGCATTTAATTCCTAGCTAAAGTTTAACGGTTTTTTTAATTGAATTTTCTTTCCTCTTTGATTAATAACTTCATTCTTTGATTCCTTAAATAGATGAGAAGGCAAACTAAGTTGAGAGCTTGCTTTTATTATAAAATTATCAATATCTGTAGAAATGCTTTCAATGCAATGTAATTTAGAAATGCATTTAATTGGCCTAAATTTTGTTTATTTTTATCATAAACTGTTGAATTTCTTTATCTTGCATAATGTCGAGATTTCATATAAGAATATGCTTATGATGTTCCTCAACAAATGGCAGAAATTTTTCCTTGTTACAAAATCAAGTGGCAGAAAAAAACTTCTTTATGATGGTTGAGAAAACTACTAAGTTTTTGTTGTACTTGGAGCCAGAGTCGTAGCTAGGGTTTTCAGTGCCCAGGAACAACTGAAGATTTCGCGCCCCCTACTGCTTGCCAAGGATGGAAAACATTTCATTCTAAAATGTCCTAACATCAGTTTGGCACCCCTTGGATTCTGCGCCCGGGGACATATGCCCCTCTCTAGCTATGCCCCTGCTTGAAGCATACAGATATTTTGGAAAAATTTCTGGAAATTTCTGTTGAGCTTGTTGAAATATTTTATGAAGTTGAATATCATCAAAATTTCAATAAAGAAAGTTAACAGTACAGAATTTTTTTTATCTTTAGAAGTAACACAGTTGAATTTGAATTGGATGAAATCAAGAATTAAATCAGATAAGATTATTTCCTGTAAATTTATTTTTAATGAAACTTTGAATAACAATTAGATGTCTGTGAGGAAGCAAATGAAGGAAGTTAAGAATATTTTTCTTGAAACTTGGTTCTTCAAATAAATCTTGAAATATGGAATATAGTAAATTAGTAGTAATAGAAATTTTAACGTTTTTCTTTCCTCTGGTACCTCTTTCTGTTTTCTTGCTGAAGAAACTAAACTGCTCATAAACTATAGCATTAAAGTCAGATTTACTATTGATGGCTGAATTTAATCCATATGGATAAAGTGTTCCAAGTTGCAAAACATACAAAGATTCTTTAAAGAGTCTATTTTTAAATATATATATATATATATATATATATAAACAGAGTGAACTACTCTTATATACACCCTCGGTTAGCGACAAATTTCTCGGCAAACATCTAACATCTTTGGCAAGAAACTCCACACCACCATATTACTACCTAAATTTTGTGCCTACATTTCAAACTTTAAGTCTAAAATGTCTGCAAAAACGTAATTTTCACACGTGCAAAAACCACGTTTTGAACACACAATTTAAGCTAAAAATCCAAAACAAAAACAAAAAATTTAGATATCAAAAATGTAAAGTTTCTAACCAAAAATATTTCAGAAGAATCCATGTACACAGTGTATGTTTTAACTTGAAAAAATATCACAGAATTGCACAATCTGCAGCAAAGGAATCTATGAACTACGTACACCTAGCTTAAATAAATTAAGATAACAACAATAAATTCTAAAAAATACCATGTACACAGCATTCTGTTTAAACTTTAAAAAAAAAAATCTACGAATTGCACAATCTAGACAGCGAAGGAATCTACGAACTACGCACACCTCGCTTTAATAAATTAACATAACAATTTCGACTCATCAACTTCCACCACTTTATCTTTCCCTCCTATCTTCAGAGACACAGAGCATACAAAGTCCAGTATACATAAATCAGTCATAAATCACTCAAATACCACACACCACACGAACCCACTAGCAACTGAAATTCAAGTTTCCAAGTAAAAAGGGTTGCCAATGAAACTAACATCGCCCCCAGAACATGCAAACGTGCTAAAACCCAGCGCACAACACATCTTGTCGCATTTGGCGACCTGAGGGCGCATATAAGAGTAGTACCAAAGAGAGAAATAAAATTATCTTCTGTATTGAGGCATATCTATGTTGAAGAAGAGTGCTAACAAAAGTATTAGTATCTTTCTGATGGCATTATTGCTTAAACTACAAAAGGAAATTTCTAGCACATAACTTAAAAGTTGTACAAAATTTAGATTAGACAACACAAGTATGCTTGAGCTATCTGGCTATTTTACTACTAAAGAAAAAAAATCCCAATTGATATAAAAGAGCACTCAGAAGAAATGTTTTATTATGACATTACATTTAAATTACACAAAAAGAAAGAAAACAAAATTGGTATATATGTGCAAATAATTTATTTTAATTGGGCTACTCATAAATTCAAAAAACAGAAATAAATTTTTGGCTAACTTTCAGTTGGAAGTATGAGGTAGGTTTTGAGGACATATGGACTATATGGTATGGTGGCAAATTTTTGTTTTCAGTATTGAAGCAAGCTACAATATTTCAGCACTAATAATTTTTTTAACTACATCCAAATAAACATTTTGCCAAAAGATTAATTAAACTAGCTAAAGTTTAACTGTTTTTTTTTTTAATAAATAGATAGGCCCACAATGAATCTATCCTCAAATTATTTTGTGTTGTTAAATAATAGAATGATTCAGAGATAAAAGCATCAATCTGTACTTTACAATACAAATGTTTAAGTACATGAGTAATTTGTTTGACAGAAAACCCAGCATGCAAAAGAAGACGATTGTTTTGAAGATATTTTAAAAGTTTATTGTTGAACAGTATAGACAACCTATAAAAATGCATATATCAGCCATACAAAATCTCATTATTTCACATAAAATATCTTCTTTTTTTAAAAAAAAAAAAGTTTCTTTTTACTATTGACAGAACTGTACCTATTAACTGTAAAGATAGCCCAACAAACATTTTTTGTCAAAGATTTTGCTTTGTGAGAGTGTGGATCATCAAAAAGTACCCACTAATCTTATAAAAAATTGTTAATTAGTAACGACTAAAATTTTTTTTGTTTTTAAAAATAAAATTAACAAGCAGGAGGAATAATAAGATAGCCAACGTCTTAAACACATAAACACCACCGATGAGAAACAAAAGCATAATTGTACAAAAAATATACTCATGAATTAGTATCCAACATTTTTACAGCATGTGCTTCGATATAAAGTTTAAGAAGGCAATGAAATACAACAGTCTTCAAGGGCTTTGTCTTAATCAATTAACCAAGCTATCAATCAATGATATGTATAGCTAAGCCGATCATATTAGTTTTACTTTTACAATACTTAGTTTTAACTTTTTTATGATCAAATTTAAAAATGCATCAATCAGTATCAAAGTCTGATTAACAATTTATCTAACTTGGAGATAACGTATACATATATATGAACAATGTACATTGTTTATTATGCCTAACTTAAAATTTTTCTTGAGATAACAAACTGTGCCTGCTGTACTCTGGATACTTATGAACATGTTCTACAGTTTCTATAATATAAAAAGTTAAGAGGCATTTATTTAATAGGCATCAGTAAGTAAAAATAATTTACGTCTAGCATATATCACTATGTGTTTTTTAAAAAAATTAAATGTCTACAATATGTAACTGATATTATATATCTATTTCTTTTTTTTTTTTTTTTTTCTGAATGAAAAATAACATCCACAACCGAAGCTTTCAATTACTTGATCAGAAAAGAATTGGCAGTAGTTACAAGAAAACAAAAGCAATCATTAGCTTTTGAAGGCTTTAGCAAAAATTAATAAAAAGCTATAATAAATCTAGAACACAATCCTTTTTTTCTCCTTCTCTCTCTCTTTTTATTTTTTTTTTAAACTGTACATCCATTAACATTACACTTTTTCAATACTCCCTTAGTGATGCTGACTGCCTTACTGATACGATGGGGTTCAAATCCCAGAGAAAGTATAGATGTTTGTAAGCATGTAGTCAGGGTTCTGGAATGCAAGTGGATCCACTACATTCATAAATTCCAGAAATTTAAGGAATCAGAAAATTAAAAAAAATGTAATAAGTTTAATAATGGTTAATACTGATTTTTCAATTATATTTAAAATTAATTTAATTACACTGATTGCAATTAAATTACGAAAACACTAGTTTTAGTTGAAGATTAAACAAAATAAGAATATGTGGCCGAGGATAACAGAAAAGTCGGTACTCTTCGGTTATCAGAATCGAATTCAGAAATGTATGCACATATGCACGCATGTGTATATGTACGTACATATATACACGTGCATACGTACATACATTTCTGAATCTGGTCCCGATAACAGAAGAGTAACGAAAAGTCTTGCTATTCCTCAAGAGCAAAGGACACTTATTTTACTGAATTTAAACGTCAACACATTTTAAGTTTTTACATAAATTTTATACATTAATTGAAACGAATACACGTAGTAATACCTAGCCATTTACAGAACTTATTAAATTAAGCAGCTAAACTGAATCAAACTGATGAGCTTCATGTAGGTAATCAAAAATGTAGGTTTATACATTTTCTCACATAGGACCAAGTTTATAACTCTGTGCATATATACATATACAACATTATTGCAGTAATGTGATTATATATCATGTTCATGAGCTCACGATATATTTATTTTTAACATGAATTCTAAAAAAGAAATGTCAACAGCTAACAATTTATTATTCTCAGCTTTAACACACTTCCTAATTAATCTGCCAACTTTAAAAAATAAATTTAAAATGTTTTAAAACGTACTTATGACGGGAAATACACACAAAAATTATCAAGTTTCACAAAATAAAAAAATAGCAATAACATTTGTTTAAAAATTCGTTATCCAGAAGAAATAAACAAGTGTCCTGTTTTGCACTCGATAAGTGTTTCTGCCCGAAGGGCAACACTATTTCAGTCCTTAATTTAATTAATTTAACAGTTGATTTTTTTTTAAAATCTAATTTATATTTCCTTAAAGTAGACTTAATTGCTAGAATAAATTCTAAATATTAAACCTTAAATCATGCATATTCATATGTATATATGGTAATAATAAAACTCATAAATCAAAATGAAGTAACAATTTCAGTCCTTCATTTCAAGGGAGTCAAACCAAAGAATTTCTAAGGACTTTCCTTAGAGATTCTTTGGTCAAACTGATCATTCCAAGCCAAGGAGGTTAGACCTCCTTGTTCCAAGCGGCCGATCGGTGAAATCGCTGAACACTGGTAGCTCGATCCGAGGTTCGAATACCGCGAACGGCTGGTGGCATGGGCATTTTCGTGAGTTTCCCCATGTGTAACGTGTATATGAGCCAGTTTCTTTTAGAAAATACTCCACATAGGCACCCTTCCTTCTTAGGCAGATAGCCCTAGTCTGCTTTGCCATAATTAAATAAATGGATAATGTTCGGAGAACAGCCTCAACGCCAAAAAAGGGTGAAATAGCTCTTTATGGTAGACCAGGCTATGGTTGTCATCCGATGACGTACTTCCTCTAAGAGGGCAGCGGTATACATTCTCCCTGCTAAGGGATTACCCGTAGCAACAAGTTGGGATACGTATTCGTAAAATATTGTCCCGTTTGCTGTTTTCTTATCAAGCAAAGAGTATTAAATTAGAAATAGCACATAATTGAATAAAATATAATTCTAGATATAAAATATTGATAATTTATGTAAAAATAAGTGTCCTGCACCTGTAAATATTTATTTAGTGCTTTATTTTCTGTTTTCATTTGCTTTGTTATGCCTCCCTGTACTCATCAATGTTCAAACATGGTTTATTCTATAGCTTTTTAGCATTTGTTTATGTGCATTGATTGCAAATAATCTATTAACATTTTCTTGTGCTTGCTCTTTTGCAATGTGTGCTTTCATATCATAGTGCAATGAAATAAGTCAATGTGTGCTTTCATATCATATTCATAGTTATGTGCAGTAATCTGAATTGAGAGGCCTTAAACAGACCTAAGATCTGAATCTTAATTGAGAGGCCTTACCAGACCTAAGTTCTCAGACTAAACATATCTGCAGTATATTTGGTCTGAGACATTTGTAGTCTCAGTCTGATATTTAGTGTATAGCACCTTTAATATTTTTTATGTTTATTGTACGAATTAAATATAATAATAAATTTTTAGAAGTATGTATGCAATAAATTTGTGTGCTGTTGGATACGATAATGCTCTCTCAAGTCTTAATTGTTCAAAATTCCACAAAATGCAATAGCATTGTATTTCATTTTTTAACTGCAGTAAAAATATCATTAAACCTGCTATAAGGATACATATTTTGCAGTATTTAAACACATATTTATTACATGCATTATGTAATGGAAAAAGTAATTTGTCATTTAACATTTCCTGATTGTTATGGTTTATAGTATTTTATATATATGATACATTATGAACTGAGAGGTTGCAATAAATATTAATAAATTAATATTTCCTGATGTACAATACATAAAATAATGCTGCGTGCAGTTAATAAAAGTGGATTTAAATGTTATAAGAATAAACTAAAAATAGCTTGTTTCAATTTGATTTTAATTGCCATAAATATAAATCATCTCCAACTTACAGAATGTGATAGTAAACATTTTACAGTATTCCCTTTATGATTTATTTCATTTAATTAAGTAAACAAAACTCCCTGGTAATTGTATATGATTACAGCAAGATGTTTCAGAATTATTATAAATGAATTATACAAATATATAATGCAAACTTCAATACATGCATTACAATGACAGTGGATCTTGTTTACGAAACAGAATGCCAATCACTTCTTTGTCATTGTGATGTATGTATTGCAGTTTGTAACAGTTCATCTGAACAATTCTGATAAATATCAAGCATTATTTTCTTGTAAATATCCATGATTAAAATAGCATTTTATTCTCCAAGTTCTTTGCAATTAATATGTTTCCGTGTTCATATTTCACATTCTGCAATACGTTGTATTGCGAAAATTATTGCTTAAGCCATGCTGTATTATACCTTAGAGAGTTGACTATAGAGGGAAATAAAAATTAAATTTTATGTATATTAGGAATAGTATGTATATGATAGTTGAATATTGAGTTCATATCGTAAGTCATATACATAACTACCCATCAAAATGTTTTCCAGTGAAATTTATTATATCCTTTTTTACCAAATAAAAACAGAAAAGGAGGCATTATTCAACTAATATGTTTAACAATAATACTGATTCCAGATTAGCTAATTGCACCTTCTTGGAAAAAAAAAAAAAAAAAAAAAAAAAAAAAAAACATATAATACATAGGACATTTTACAGAATTACAGCTAAGCTCAAATTACATACTTTTTAATTTACTTATTAAGTTTAGTAACAGTTTGACTTATTTTATTGTGATTTTCATTTTTATTTTAATTTGATCTGGTCTGTGTGATTTGATTATGGCAAAATATGTGAGAGCTATTTGCATAAGCAGAAGCATGATTTCATAGAGGACTTACTGACTCGTATCCTCATTATACAGGCATCAAATTTCTTAACCTAGAATTGCACTCAGGTCAAACTACCAGCTTTGAGCAACTTTACTGCTCAAGCACTGGTGGGCACATTTTTGTTATGATGGAATAAATTTTTCCATTGTATTTTAACATTTTTCTTTGAAACAGTCATGGGTTTATTTTCTGTTTTTAAGCTGTGATATTGAGACTATTGTGGTGTCATTTTGCAAATGACTTGTATTCATGCATGTGCCCCAATTAATACTTGTGTAATTAAAAACTTGTTCAATGCTTATTATGCAAAGTATTCAGTTTAAAAGTGTACCCTTCATAAAATCATTATTGCACACATTCATAAGACATATCTTTTATATATTATACACTCAGGTTTCAGCCTTAGAAGGCCAGCGAATGATGTTCCATTTGAAAAGCTTGATTGGAATGAGCCTATGCATGAATACTTCATAACAAGATAGATACTTCATTTACTGAAGAATACTACTGAATGATATAGATATTGAAACTATCAAAATGGTAGTACAAGAATTGGATCAGAGTATGGAATCATTAATCAAGGGATACTATGCATGGCTCGACAAATCTACACCATAGATTGATCTTTGCATAAATTCACCTTTGAAAACTGCCAAAAATATTTACAAAAAAAAGGGGAGAACTCTTAATGGGTAAGCAATGAGTTTTTATTTCTATAGCAGGCCACACTTCCTGACAATTGATAAATTAAATACACAAAATAATGAAATCTTGCATCTTAAAAGGAAACCAAATACTTTTTCTGATAGTAATGAAAAAAATCTGCAGGTATTACTAAAGGTTTTTCTAAAATTGCCAGAAGAAAACTTTCAAAAAAATGCTACCAAATACGTAACTAGTAAAAAAAGGTTGTCATCTTGATTCATCTAAACCCCAAGATAGCAATCAGCCTTCTACAAGTAACCCAGATAATCCTAATAGTCAAACAGAATTTGTCACCTCAACCTAGTTCAGTTTCATGTATCAAATCTCAGAGAAGGCGTGAATGTCATATTCTTTCTGGCATGTAGGCATTTGAATTCTGCTGAAGCAAAAGTTTCCTAGAGCAGCCGATGATAGAAAAAGATAAATACAAGACCATTGGCTAATGATTTGCACTTTATTTTGCATACACAATCTTATGCTTTCAAATATATTTTCGTTTCACAGCACGTTTGCCAAAATGGGACCTTCATTTATTACTTACTTAATTATTACTTAATTATCATTTATTATTTTTAAAAATTATATTTATTACAGAATTTCAAAATTTTAGTGATCAGTTTATTAATTAAACTTACTTAATTTTTACAAAAGTAATTATTGAGATATCTCAGGCTATTATAAATCTCAGTATATCATAAATTTTAAGGTATGTATTAAGGCATTGATTTGTAGAGTTGGCGGATGTCCCCCTGGAGGATTTGGATTACTTGGCATATACTTTCAAATTGGCAAATTAGATCAGAACCATCCAGGGATGGTCGGACATGGCTCCTCAAGAGCCCAAACCTGCTCAGTTAGGGAGAGATCTGGCAATCGCACGGGCCAGGAAAGTGTTGAAGATGCAAGAAAACAATTAGTAGAAAGGCATGCTGTGTGCATCCGGGCATTACCCTGCAGAAATGTAAGCCCAGAGATCCGTGAAAGGAAGGGCAAAAATAAAGGGCTAGAATCTCATCGAAGTGCTGCCGTGCTATAAGGGTGCCACACCAAACGAGGCCGGCTGTCAAATGAAATGGCATCCCATACCATAGCTCCTCGTTGTCTCGTTGACAGTATCCAGATGAGTATGCATTGCTGTTCTGAACGTCTCCAGACATGTCTTCGCTAATCATCGAAACTCACTTCGAAGCAGGACTCATCGCTGAAAGCTATTATATTCCAGTCTGTTAGATCCCAGGTCGAATACCTCCGGCACCGCTGCAAACATGCTTAACGGTGTGCAATGACAATGGGTAGGCGGCGTAATGCCTTCTGTGACTTCAGCCCCGAGCGTGTTCGGATGATCATTTTGTCCTTGTTCTGCAGTCGCTTTTGCTTGACCGTTACATTCGTGACGCTCTCTATAACCATGATTCACCCAGTCCTGTCAACATCATAGAATGGGCGCATCGCTCGGATCCAAATATCTAGCTATTCTGCGGCCACCCTCATTCCTTTATTCTTAAATAGTGACATCTGCTCGTACTTTTGACGAGCCCGTCTCAGAGACGTTGGTACAGTCCACCTAGATCGACTGACCCATACTTGCTTGGAAGTTATGCATTATCAGTGGAATATCTTCCGTTTTATGTACCATCCGTCCATAGCTTAGTTGGCAGAGCAGTGGAGTGTAGAGGTGTTGACACAGCTATCCATTTCATCTGGAT